AGAAACAAAAATACAAATCTGAGAAAATTAAGGCATTTAAGGGATGTGTTTGACTTGGTCAATTGGTCAAAGGACCTAATCCAAAAGAAAAAGAACTGTTACTAAACAATAGTATGTACGAGGGACTTATATCTAGTTTTTGGTTTAAGTTATTAAAAATTGCTTGGAAGGAAGTTAAACTGTGAATTTGAACCGTTGATCAAGTGGATATTTTTTGGGCGTACGATTCTAAATTGACAGTTTGACTGCCAGTCATAAGAATATTACCCTATATTGTGTGGCACATCCTCATGTATTTTGGGAAATTGACGTGGTTGGCAAACATTCATGTCAAATTTCTACGCTCATGTTCGTGTCCTCCAATCATAGCTTTTTCTAAGACGTGATTTACTTCTCACCCGTCCTAATTTGTTTCCATTTCAGCTCTCCTGTGCAAGATTGCAGCTTTGAGAACATTTGGACTGGATAAATTGCACTACTGGAGAGAGAGCTCTTCTGGCATGAGTAGCTTGGCTTACTTTCTGTCGAGGGATACAATTGATCATTTCAATACAATCATTAAGCCTCTAGTGTATCTCTCAATGTTCTATTTCTTCAACAACCCAAGATCATCCGTCATAGATAATTTCATCGTTTTGCTTTGTCTGGTTTACTGCGTGACTGGTATAGCTTATGCCCTGGCTATCTACCTGGCACCTGGTCCAGCCCAACTGGTAAGAATTTTTTCCACATTGAGAAATTATTAGCTTTGTAAAATGAATGTTTTTATGTGTCTGTATGCTTGTTTTCTTCTTCCTTCCAACAAGCCACTTTTGTTGTTGTGCAGTGGTCGGTACTTCTTCCAGTTGTTTTGACTCTAATAGCAAACTATAATGAGAACAAATTTGTTTCAAGAATAGCTGATTTGTGCTACACTAAGTGGGCTTTGGAAGCTTTTGTCATAGCAAATGCTAAAAGGTTTGAAATAACCATTTTTACCGAGATCATTGTGCATCATCATTCTTAATGCGGATGTTATAATGCTTCTTGCTTTTCTTTTTTCGTTTTTCCTTTTTTTCAGGTATTCTGGAGTGTGGTTAATCACACGATGTGGTTCACTTATGAAAACTGGCTATGATCTCAATCATTGGTACCGTAGTTTAATCTTCCTCATCATTACCGGTATAGTTTCTCGATGCATTGCATACTTGTTACTGGTACTCTTCCAAAAGAAGTAACTCAGTCTGATCCTTTCAACCCATTCTCCCTGTACATAAATGGAAAATTCTTTACAAAGATGCTTGCCTCACTACATAACCCTCAGAGTCTCGTGAAGATGCCGGAGATTCACGAGAATGTTGGATACTGTAGAATCAATATATTGGCAATCTGTAGACGAGTAAATGCCGCACTTTCTTTAGGTAGCACTTCCAGTCCGTATAGGTGTAGATAACAGTGGTATTTTATTTATTCAAGGTAGCTCTTCCTCCTAAGGGTTCTGCTTGTTGTTATGCATTTGTTGTACAATCAGTTGTTTCTATATTATTTGTATCCACATGGTTTTGCTTCTGCCAAATTTGTGACAATTTTTTTTTTAGTACAAGCGATAGTCTAAAACTACAGAGGAGGGGGATTTCTCTCTCTCACACACACACAACTATGATGCCGTAGAGATTTGAACGTGAGACCTTTAGTCTGCAAGTCAAGGCCCTTTTCCACTGGTCTGCTGGTCAAGTATGGTGAGAATAATGGGGGGTGTATCCAATTCATACTTATCAAGACTTTTTTTTTAAGTGAGTGACTTTCATAGAGATGACAAATTCTTAAATACTCTCATAGAGTTGATAAAAGTCATTAGTAAATTGGCAAGACTTTTGCTCTTAACAACTAGCCTTAAAAGTATGGAAAAGTCATTCATTTAATAAGCTTTTTAAAAGTCATTAACTTTTTGGATACCACCGAATTTTTAATTACTTTTTAAAAGTCATAACTGAATACCACTGAACTTTTAAATACTTTTTAAAAGTCACAATTGAATACCACTAGACTTTTATATACTCTTTAAAAGTCTAAATTGAATACATCCAGACTTTAAAACTCTATAAAAGTCATTAAAAGTTTGAATTAGATACACCCCTTAATATACGATTGTTTGGTTTCCATGATGAAATGAGAATTTGTAATGCAATCAAGGAATGAAACAGAGGAGAGAATAGAGTACTGGTTGAAAATTTGAGACACCAAGGGTATCTTGGTCTTTTCAAGTACAAAATTATTTCTATTTATTTTGGGAATTAGTTTTCCATTATCTTATCTTATTTTTCAATAAGTTATTTTTCAAGTAGTTGTGTTCTCCATTATCTTATTTTTCTTTTAATTTTAATTTTTTTTACTATGAAAAAATGTGAATTTACCATATTATTCTCATTTAATTAATAATTTTATTTCTTAATGTTCGCATTAACCAATGACATTTTCTGATATTTTAAATATTTTACTATTCTCTGTCTTTTGCTTTATATCTATAGATGAAAACGATAATTTTATGGAAAAACCCCATTTCCAGTACCAAATGGTGTGAAACTTTCTACAAAGGACAGACAGAACTTATGAAAAAGAAAGGAATCCATGTAATAAGCACCTAGAAATGTTGAATTTTATCTGGAACTTAAAAAATAAAAAAAAATCGTATCATCTAACTATTTTTGTATTTTTCTCTTCAGGATTATATGCGTTCCTAGTTTTGTTTGCAGGGAGAAAAAAGGGGTCAGCGTGTGAGATGTCAGTTCATAATTGTGATGACATGCAATTACAAACCTCAGTTGGCACAATTTAACCCACTATTTACTGTTAATTTTTTTGGGGGAGTTGAAATGGGTGAAAGGCATCGGTCCTTAAACTTTTATTAAAAAAACCCTGAAAGACATATGACATCAGTTTAAGTATCGACCAATGCTATTTTCATATTAAAGGCATCGGCAAGGATTGCTAAGCATTGGTAGTGACCTATGGTCCTATTATTTATACAACTGATGCCTAAGAGACTAACAACATCAGTTTGATGTTCTGAGTTTACCGATGCCTATCAACCAATGCCTAAAGTCACTTTTGTCATAGTGATGTCTTAATTCTTATCTACGTTTTGCTTCAACTGCTGTAATAATCCTTCTGTGGTAAAAGCATTCTTAAGCGAGCAGCAAAGCAAAGCATGTAATAAGTACTAATGATGTTTCTTTAAGTTTGAACCATGAGTATGCTTTCAGGAGATAATTTAGTAGCATAGTTAAGTTTCAAACTTGTCAATTTGAGTATGTGGGATTTAACCAGGACCATTAGTGTAGTGGTTTGGAGCAATTATTCATCCAAGAAAGAGTCTGGACTCGAGTCCTAGCATCCGTGTAGTGTGTGTGAGTTTAGTATGTTATCGACCATCTCAATAGGAACGGTCTTAAAAAAAAGTAAAAAAATTAAAAATAACCGAATTTCTTACAAATAAATTAAAAAAAAATAATTGAGACAAGTTTCATATATAGACGCACAAATCCTTCAACTATAATACTCTAATCTCATGCTGTACTAAGCACGAGATTCTAACAACCAATTCCAACATCCCAAAGAACAATCCAATTTGATCCGCCAATGTTTGTTTTTGTATTAAACAAGTTGTTCATCAATTTGAGTTTATGAAGTGGAGAACACATTGAAGATTGATAAACAAGAATATTGATTTCCCCATAATAATCACAAAGTACAATATAAGTATGTCATCTTACATTAATTAGCAAGATGGTTGATTGTTTAATCTCCATTATTAAACACCAATCACGTTGATTATCCTGCAGAAGCTTAATAGAAATGGCCATTTCATGGAAGAGGAAGTGCCCTCTAGGAATTTCATTACCTCAATTTGTGGTAATATGATCATTTACATTATCATTAATATTCCATACCATAAAAGCTACCCTCTCCATATGCGTACAAGAGAGATCAGAGGTGGAGAGTGGGGGAGACGAATGGGAAGAAGGGGAAAGGAAGGAGGAGGGGGAGGGGATGGGGAGGTTGAGGTGATTATTATTATTTAAAAAAAAATTTAATTTAATTTAAAATGTTAAATATATATTTTTAAAATTTTAAATTTTGTTTTATCTATATATATAAGCCAAAGGTAGACAATGATGAAACATTCAAAATACCAAAAAATGACCTTGATTAATTCAAACATTAAGAATTGAAATTATTAATTAAATAAGGATAATATGGTAAATTCACATTTTTTCAAATTAAAAAAATTAAATTAAAAAACAAAATCAGATAATAGGTCATAGTTTTATGGAACATAACTACCCATGTTATATTTTCTTAATTCTAAAAAAAAAAAGAAAAAAGCAAACCAATTGGCACATGCTCACTAGTTTTATTTTAAATGTTTAGTTTTAGGTAGGTGAGGTTTTTATTTTCTCTTTTTTTTTATTAATAAAATTATGAATTTATCCTTAATTTGGACATAAATTTGGACGGAATTTAAAAAATTTGATGGTAGGACCTCAATTGGCGATTTTTAAAAAGTTCGAGTCCTTAATATAATATGCAAGTAGTTCAGAAAATCCGTCCTGGTAGATACGGTGAAAGTACAAAGCAAATGGTAATTGATGAATGATCATTGTGAATTTTTTATCCCTAAATTATACAAGCTTCTATCATTAGGGTCTTGTTTGTAAGGTAACCGCTTAACCCCAAAGCCAGAATTGCAAGCTACGCCAAGACCAAAGCCCACGTACGTCTCACTCCACCCGCTCTAATTTTCTCTGCATGATGCCCCACCCAAAACATCAACGGTTATCCCAATACCAAATCCAACCTCCTCCTCCTCCTCCTCATCATCATCATCATCATCATCATCATCCTCACCTTGAAAGCTCTCTCTCATCTTCCTCCTCAACACCCCATAATTTTTTCCATTCTTCAAATCAAACGTCAACAACAAAAACAACAACCAGAAGCAGCAGCAGCTGCCACCCTTGCTTTGGCACGAAGCTTAAGTCCTTCTCACACCAACACTTCGGACAAATTCAAAACCTCACCAATATCATACCCTCTTGGCTTTATGTTGCTTCTAATTCTAGGCGTTGGAGTTGGCTGAAGCGCACTGGGGTTTTGTTCATGGCGAGCCCCAGCGACTTGTCCGTTCGTACTCCATCGGAGATTGTGAGTTCCATTTGAGTCTATGATGACACTCTTGATCGTGTTTTTAGAAATGTTACATATTAATTCCAATATTATTATATGCCCAAATTTTATTTTCGTTAATATGGACTCCTGTAGCTAATTTATGATCAATTTGTTATGCACATATGATATCCTTTACTTTCTAATGCAGCGGAAAAAGAAGCTTAGTGGGCAGCGAAAGAGAGAGGAGCTTGAAAAAGAGGTATGTAGTACTTCTTTTCTTGAAACAAATAAGAGTAGCGACTTGCACTACTAGTTTAGCTACTGACACTCCAAATGAGCATTTTACAATTATATATATATATATATATATATATATATATATGCACACATTGTTGGTCAGCTGGGTAGCAGCTTAAGCGCAGTTGTGTTCAAAGTTCAACCCACGGAACACCCAGCAACGAAATTTGTATTACATATCCCACCTTTTCAACGTGCTTGAAAATGTACGTAAGTACGGAGTAATTTACTAATTTGTGCAGGAGACTAAAGAAGAGTCAAGGCCTGGCCAGAGATCCATCACGTTTCATTATTTCTGCAGCAAATAAACTACCCCAAAAAAAAGATTATTAGCTTGAAACTAAAAATAACAGCTTGGAAACAGCTCGAAGGAGGAAGAGAAGATCAATATTTACACGCATATAATATATATATATATATATGTTTTGGTTTGCGTTTGAAAGCAGCAGCAACAGAAGCACAGTAGTGTGAGTGAGAGTGGAAAATGTCGTCGCAAGGCCAGAGCAGAAACGACTTTCCAAATTAGGCATATCATACTAGTCGTATCAGTCGTAAATAGAGAAGTATGGAGCTTTGAATTGAAACCGTGTTAAGCTAATTAGCTAGGGTTACTGGTTTCCACTTTCATCAATCAGAGTCAGAGCCCACATTTTTTTTTTATGTTTGAAGAAACCGAGTGCTGCTACTCCTATTCCATTATTTCTCATCCAAAACGCGTCAGCTACACTTTCGTCATCGTCGAGATAAGCCAACCAAACCAAACCCCAAGCCTCTCTCTCCCCATGCCAATATCACCGGCCAGCTCGAAGCCCGGAAAATTTGGCAATCATAGGGTAATGGGCTCCCCTCCCTGGTCTATGTTGGTGTAACTAGGATCAATGAAAAAAGTGACTAAAATTGATAGTGCAGAAGCATGGCCCAACGAATGGGACATTAATTTATCAACATGTCATTTTTAGGCGTCCTTGTTAACTATGTAGCATTTATGCTACATCAAGGTTTCATGGTTTATCTTTCAAACCTCTGGTTTCTTTCAACTGGAAGACCATCTTTATCTTTAAAGATGATATAATTGTACTGATCAAATTGGATTCCCAAGACCAATTTAGAGACATCATTCATTTCTATGTCAAGGAAACCATCGAGTTGTGACTTTGGAAAAAGTTGAATTTTGAGGTGTCAAGGAACCATGCTTCTTAATTCTCCATCACTAGTCTCTGCCTGCACATCGATTTTCTTCTGTTTTTCCCTTTGTTAGGATTGGTGCTCTTTTTGTTCTCTTTTGGAGCCAAATTTATTTTTCTTTCTAGCTAGCTCTAAGGTATATGTGCTTGCAAGTTCTTCTATTTTCTTTTGTTTTTATGTTTGTTAATAATATATGGGGATGGGGCTCCCCGAAGTGTAGGTCATCTTTCCTTAGAGATCGAGGAGGAATGTTTGCATCCTGTGACCTGCACTGAATAACTAATCTCGCCTAATCTTCTAGTTTATTAATTTGAATATTAAAAATACTCTTCCTATCATATTGTTTCACCAAATTGGCAACAGAAATTGGGACCCATTAGATAATGAAGAACGTACATGCATAAATTACAAGGTGATAATTTATTTATTTAATTTTGTTTCTTTGAAATGAAGGTACAAAGCATATTCATTCAAATACAAACAAACTACCCTCTAGGTGTAGATGAGAGAATGGCATTGACAGTAACAAGTTTCTATTTAGTAGGTTTCTTTGCTTCAAAGAATGCTGAATCAAGAAGAGAAAGTACATGAGGTTTTGGATCATGTCTATAGTCAGAAAACTACTGGTTCTGCTATTTCTTTCCCAAGATTCCTTCCTCCCAAGGTACTCTTCTGCCTTTTCTTGTTACACTTGTGTACAGTACATATAGAAATTATGAAAACGCATGCACTGTATTTTTTGAAGGCACCTTATGAGAAATGAATTCACGTACGTAAGGGTATGATGTTTTAGTTTAATTATACAACGTTCTTATCAAAATTAGACAATTGTTGCAAAGTTATTTTTGGCAATTATATAATATTGTTAGACTCTAAATTCATATGAGCATTGAAATATGATTTCATATAATTGGCGGTCCTAATTCACAGTCTGGTAACATAATATGTCGGACTGTGTATTTTAAGCTTATGTGCTCGGAGAAATGCAGTACAATCATTATCATCATAATTCTACTTGTTTATAATAGAATAAATTATATTACTCTCTATGAACGCAGATGAAGGAGCTTTTGGCAGAGCTAGCAATGGTTGAAGGAGAAATTGCTCGACTCGAAGGCCAAATCAGCCAACTTCAACTTGGGCTGAAGCATGAAGAAGAAGCTACTAAGGAAGCAAAATCGAAGCAATGGCAACATGAAAACCTAATAAGTAACCCCGTTGGCCGTGCATCATATATATCCATGCCAAGCCCCATGAACAACATTAAAGGTGAGAGGATGGGGTACGAAACCAAGGCATTGCATTTCATAAGTAAAGCTATAAAAGGTGATTATGATCATCTGAACGACCTCAGCCTAAATGAGAAAATTGGAAGCTTGAGAGGAATTGCTGATCAGAAAGAAAATTATTTCTGCGATGAGGTTAAATTTCAATATAAGGTTCCAAGAAAAAATGGAATATTGAGGGCATCCTCACCCTTGCGAGCTCCAAGATATCCATCACCCAAGGTAGTACTGTAATGTATACATTTTTAATTGATCATATAATTTCCAAATTTCATGTACATTTTTAATGATTATTGCTGTAAGGTATGCATTAGTAGAGTATTACAACTCTGATCTGGTGATTATCACCAACCAATTAATGTTTTTTTTTTCCAGCTAAAAGAACGTAATCCAGGGATTTGTTCAGAACTCCCACCAAAATCTCTACCAATTCCAACACAATTAGAAGAGAACATCCAGAATTGGCAACCAAACAGGCTCTCTGAAGAAATTATGAAGTGTCTCAACTTCATATATGTTAGGCTTCTCAGAACAACCAGAACAATGGAATTGGAGAAATCAGGCCCCATTTCCAGGTCCTTGAACTCTTCTATAACCTCAAGAAGCTTCAGGGATGAAACCACCTTAAACTCAAAGTCAAGCCTAGTTTTGTTACAAAAGGAATCAAGGCAACAAGACCCTTATGGCATCTTCAATGTGGAAGACTCAATTCCTAGGGACATTGGCCCTTACAAGAACTTGGTCATTTTCACCTCAATCTCTATGGACCCAAAATCCATTTCTGCCTCCAATTCCATTCCTTTGATAAGAAAGTTAAGGTATGTTCGAATTAATTGTCTTATATAGTATGATGGTGATTTTAGCACTCCCAATTTAGATAATGGCCCTCCCACTTTGAGTGTAAATATTATAAAATACTCAATTTCGAGCGTCATAATCTAAAATAGAATACTAAAATCATTGTAAGTTTGATAAACATTGTTGGCCTATTTTCTGACATCTTAAATTTTTGAGGCTAGTGGTTGTCTAACATGATATCAGAACATTCTTAGCAAGTGGTCCTAAGTTCGATTCATGTTCTCATGTTCTCCACTTCTTTGTTGGCCTGCCTCTCCACATGTAGGATGGGCCTATATATAGTCTACACGTGAGGGAGGGTGTAAAATTGATATACATTGTTGACCCATTCTCTGATAGCTTAAGCTTTTGGGGCTAGTGAGTGATTGTCTAAAAATCCCTACCTTGCTCAAATTGTAATGTTGTGATCATAACTTTTCTCTATATATTGTACTTGTGCACCACAGGTTATTGATGAACGATCTTCAGGTGGTGGATTTGGGGTCCTTGACATACCAACAGCAGCTGGCATTCTGGATCAACATGTACAATGCTTGTATTTTGAATGTATATACAACAAAGCTTTCTTCTTTTTCCTTCTGCTTATTTCTTTTCATTTGAGAGATGTCCAGCCTCAAGTGCACTTTTAGTGCATCCAAGAACCAATGTTTGCAAGGCACCCATCAGAATAGCAATGCAGAGTTTATTTATCCATGGTCTGGCCAAGCTTTCTCATGTTGGATTGACATAAATTTTTCTATTTTCAGTGTTTTCTTCATTATGGAGTGCCGGCTTCCACCGAAAAATTACTCACATTAATAAGCAAGGTAAGCCCCAAACTTCAACTAAAGGCATCAAATTGCTAGAAATTACAGTAGGCAGTAGTTCATTGCAGAACAACTACTTGTTTCATGATTATAAGATTATTGAAGTGAAGTACCAGAAACATGTACTTCTTGTCTTGTCACCCTTCAATTCCTTGTAATAATCTTAGGCATAACAAATAATGGTTTGATTTCAGGCAACCCTGAACATAGGAGGTAAGACTTTAAATGCTGAAGCCATAGAGCGTTATATTCTGAGGAAGCCACCACCTTCCACTATGAAAGAGGTAAATATTATGATTCGTCCTATATGAATCAAACGCGTATTCTAAATCAGTATGATCTCCCATCATGAAAATTTTTCACAGGCTCTTCGGAATGAAGATGAAGACGATAAAGCCGGTGTTCGGCAACTCTATGGTCTCGAGTCCATGGATCCTAATGTCACATTTGCTCTGTGCTGTGGAACACGTTCTTCTCCAGCGGTAAAACTTCATATAACATGTTATGCCATTGCATTTCATTATGTGCTGAATGTTAATGCTAAAGAATTTTCAGAACTGAAAGTTGCATTAATTTTTCAGGTGAGAATATACACAGCTGAAGGTGTTGTAGCTGAGCTGGAGAAATCAAAGTTGGAGTACCTGCAAGCATCAATTGTGGTGACCAGCACAAAGAAAATTGTGTTCCCAGAATTGCTGCTTGGGAACATGCTTGATTTTGCTGGGGATGTAGACTCACTGGTTCAGTGGGTTTGCCACCAGTTGCCAACATCTGGATCGTTGAGAAAATCAATGGTGGATTGCTTCAGGGGCCAAATTAGCAGTGCCAAGATTTCTGCCACTGTTGAGAAAATGCCATATGATTTTGAGTTTCAGTATTTGTTGGCCATGTAATTTTCTTGATTTGGTGTCCACTTACCACTTATACCACGTGCGTATGTGAATAAAAGAGGTATTGGACTAGTTGATAATTATGATACAAGCGATATTGGGGAGAATTGAAAACTCGATCTCAGGTGCTTAGATAAATGTTTTAACTACTTAAGCTATAATCGTTTAGTTGAATGCACTAATTAGTAACCAGTTAATTGAATTTTAAAGGTATACCTCAAGGGATTAAAAAAATAAAAAACCAAAACCAAAAGTGCAATGTTTATACTTTAAATTCCACACCGAACTAATATAACACACATGGAAAAATTGGTTTGGTTAAAGTCTCAAACTAGTATCATAAACTTAAACCAAACCAAACCAAACCAATCCATTCAATGATCGGTTTGGTTGGGTTATTGCCCACTGCCAAAAATAGGCTCAAAAGACATTGAGTCCTGTAGACATTGTCAACTTGTCAAGCCTATCGCAACTAGTCAAGCCTCCCTTCGTTTTACATAACCTGGCAACCATCCGGTAGCCCTCCAAACAAGAATGAGAATATACGTATAACTAAAAATAGTGTAAGAGAGAAAAACAGTGTACTAGAAACCTTCATATACTATACATGTGGATGTGGTGAGGGAAATTATAGTTTTTGTAGGAGAGAAGTTAGAGAAAAGGTAATGTGTTATAACGTATAACTAAAATCATACAAGAACCCTCTAAACCCAAATAAATGCAATGCATAGCTGCATGGGGTTACCCTGCAATTGCGCCTTTGCATCAGTGGACAGAGGTTTGTATGGGATCTTTTGTTGAAACAGAGCTTCTCCTATTGTCCCATACAAAATAGAAAAATACAACAGAAATTCCATTAAACAAAATTAATGCCCGAAATTAAGAATGCAAGTGAGAAGGGATTTTCACCTCCTGCCATACGCACAACCACTGAAATGCTTTCATGGTCGTCAAAGGTGCAGCAGTTTCAAATTTCATTGTCCACAGATGCATATTAACTTCACAGTGATTCTTTTATCAACAGCAACAAAGCAGGATCGACTTTATCTCTCGACAGTAATTGAACTATCAACTCCGTTGTTGATGCATCTGCAGAGAAACCATTCCCCACCATTTGTTGAATAAGTACCATCGCTCTTGATGTCTCATTGTTACTGATAAACCCTCTGATAATTGTGTTATATGTGCAACCATCTGGAGAACAGCCTTTCTCTTCCATTTCGACAAGCAACTTTTCTGCTTCACTTTTTACACCCCCGATACATAGTCCATTAATCATTATATTGTATGTCTACACATTAGGTTGAAGTCCTTTTGATGATAAACCACAAAAGAGATTGATGCATCAGAGATCCCTTGCAGATTCAATTTTTCCAGCTATGAACAAATCTTCAATAAGAACAGTGTAAACCACAATATTAACATCCAACTTCTTCGCTTCGATCTCTCTAAACAATTGCATTGCCCTGGAAAGTTGTCGGTTTTTAAACAGGCCATCCAGTAGAACAACATAAGTTTGAAAATTTGGAAGTTGGCCACAATCTTGCATCTCAAAGAACAACCTTTGTGCATCTTGTATTCCACCCACTTTGCAAAACCTGTTCACAAGAGTGTTATAAGTAACGGTATCTGGAACCAATCCCTTATGACACATATCTAGAAAAAGCATCATGGGCTCATCTATTTTTTTAAGCTTACAATAGCCATTTATCAATGTGTACTGACAACATTAACCATCGAGCCCTTGCTAAGCATTAGTTCAAAAACTTTTTGTGCCTTGTATAACCAACCATCCATAAGTGAATTGTATGCAACCATATCAGGTTCAATATCTCTTTAAATCATCATTTCAACTACACCTTCTGCTTCCACGACCATCCCCTCCTTACAAAGTGTGTCTACCAAGACTTTGAACGTGAACACATTTGGAAAGATATTTTTACTGACTGTTTCATTCAACAACCTTGTAGCTTCTTTCCACTCGCCTAATTTGCAAACTCCATTAATCAAAGAGTTATAGGTAATGACATTTGGGGCAATACCCTTGCTTATCATTTCTGAGAAAAGGTTCAATGCATCAACAACCTGTGTATCTTTACAAAGACTCTCAATGATTGTGCTATAGGCAACTAGGTCAGGCTTGCAAGGCCTTTCCTCCATCTTCCTAAGCAATTGAATAGCTGCACAGTTGTTACCCCTCATGCAAAAGCCCATTAGTAATGTGCCGAAAGTAACCACATTAGGCTTCCAATTACCTGCCCTCATCATTTTGTGGAAAAGGGCTGCTGCCTCCGCCACTCTATGCTCGAGAAGATAGCCGTTGATTAGAGTGTTGAAGGTCAAGACATTTGGTTCAAGACCAAGTTTGAAGAATTTTCCCAATACAGATAAACTAAACCCTATTTGATTCAAATGACAATAACAATTGATAAGAATGGTTAGAGTATAAACATCAGGATTCCCGACGCACCCATTTGGTTATACGATGAGATGACTGCCGAATAATGTTTCAATTTCGCAACTTGAGTCAAGATTTGAGTGAAACGAACAAGTGAAGGCAGAGGACGCTTTTGAAGCATTCTATCAAACACATTGAAAGCATCCTCAACAGTTGTGATTTTGGGTGAGTTTCTCACTGCCTGCTCTAGTTAGGTTCTTGTAGATTTGATAGGTTTAGAAGGTTGAGAGTGAAGGAAAGCAAAGTAATTGTTGGCGAAAACAACAACAGTGGAGTTACTATGAAGACAAGGCATACCTCTCCATCTCCTGCTGCTGCAATAAAAAGAAGCAGAAGCAGCTATATTCCGCATCATCATCTCAGTGAGTCAACGAGTCTCACCCGTATCGAACCCGGTGGTGAAAGAAGAAAGAATCTCCGCTGCAAGTAAAGGCCATGGCTTTATTGATTCAAAGAGAGAGATATGGCAATTTGGCAAACTGGGAAAGGTGTTTGGTTGTTTGCGGCAACGGTAAATTTTCGATTATAATTTTTAAAAAACATCATGTCTACAGGTTTAACCAATAATCAAATATTACTTGAATTAATAAATAGTATTATAAATGTTATAGCCGTGCGGCTATACTAAAACAGTATAGCCGGACGGCTATACTATTATTGACACATGGCGAAATGAGTGCTAGGCGCCGGGGGGTCTTTATTTATATTTAATAAATCGTATCGCCGCACGGCTATACTCAGGGTTTTTATAAAAAAGAGTATAGCCGACCGGCTATATTGTTTTTGACAAGTGGCGAAATGAGCGTTAGGGGCCGGTGGGTTTTTTTAATATTTTATAAATAGTATAGCCGATCGGCTATACTGGGTTTTTTATTTATAAAAATCGTAGAGCCGATCGGCTATACGACGGGTTTTTAAAAATAGTATAGCCGTGCGGCTATACACTGGATATATATTTTTTAATTATAAAAAAGTATAGTCTCCCGTCTTTACTGGGATCTTTTTTTCCTCTTTACATAATTGAATCCGACCAAATTAATTTCGATTTGGTTGTAAATCAAACCAAATTAATTGCGATTTGGTTCCATTCGATTGAAGATTAGACTTTTTTGTGCAAAAATCGAACAAAACCTCTCAAATTAGTTGGGGCAGTGTTTGAGGGGCCGCTTCATACTTCCTTCTTGGAGCTTGTCGAAATTTTTTCGAGTGCATAAACACTTAAAAGTGCTTTTTGGAAAACCACGGTCTCCTAAAAAGCATTTTCATTACAATTACCTGACAGTTCCGTTTACGTTTCAATAGGCTGACCGTCTATGAAACAGAACATATAACCCAGCAATAGCAACGAGCTACTAACGCCGTCATTCGCTCCCAGGCGATGGCGAAATACCAATGTTCTGTTTTTCCTCAAGAAAAAAGAAAAGAAAAGAAAATGACCAATGCTGTGTTACTCTGCTGTCAACCACCGGACTCCATTCCATTTCAACTTTCTGATGCATTTCAAATCCGTCGCCCTTCACTGGTTCTAACATTACGATTCTACTTTCCTTTCTCTACCATTCTCTCTCTGTTCCAAAAATAAGCTTTTGGGTCCTTGTGAGCCTTTATATGAGGTTGAGGTAATTTCTCTTTACCTTTCTTGGCAATTCCACACAACCCATTTTCCTTTTTATTATTATTATTATTTTTCTTCTTCTCACTATTATTAGTAGTTAATATGGTACTGCTTTTCTGGTCCTACATACATTTCACAGCTCTTATTGTGTATACAATTTATTTATTATGTTTTGGGCCTTTATGGTTCTTGGGGGTTGCTTATATTTAGTCAAAATATTTGGAGAATTATATGATTATTGTCTAAATTGGTATATTGGGATTCAATGGATGCATGGTATGAGGTTAATTGCATGGTTGTGAGGTTGTGCATTGCTTTTTATTTGGTGCAATTTGCTGTGTGTTGGTAATTGTTTGAAACTTGAAAGTAACAAAGTGACATTTCCTTAATGCGGGTTTGGTTTCCTGTTATGACTGAATGATCCTAGTGTGATTTACTTGATGATGAAAATTGTCCCCACCAAAGACAACCCAAAAGAGAGGAAAAAGTTGTTGCTGCTAGTTTGAGTATGTCGGTTCATTTCCTTTGATGGGAGTGATGTGAATGCAAGATTATGCGAATATAGTTTTTTCGCCTCTGGAAATGCCTGTGTTAAACACAACTCAAGTATTCATTCTTATGTAATGCTTGAGTAGCCTCTTGCTGAATGATTTTTTTTTTGTCCTGCTACCTTATACGCGTGAAAAGAACAGCGTACTTGCAAGTGATTTGAAGAAGAAAATTGTTTTTACAGAATGGTTTGAGGTCTCTACCTTCTAGCAATCTTTTTCCTGTATATTAAGATTACGTGCCTAATTTTACATTCCATTTGGATTTTAAACTTGAATTGTTTATAGGCAAGTAAAAAGAAAATTCCAGACCACATTGGATGTGCGTCGTTGGAGGACATTTTGAAAACTGATGATGGGATTGCAAACATTCCTAAGAGTCAACGATACTTATAGTACATCTCTTGGAGTTGAGTTGAATATTCAGATTAATGACTCCAGGCATTGAATATAAACCGAAATATGATTTCATTTCCAATAATCGTTCTTAAATCTTAGATTCTTCCCAAGTAATTGGAAAGTTCACCATGTTGATGTTTCCTCATGAAAATATCCGCTGTTTTTGTAGTTGGACCCATATGTACCCATTTTCACTTCCTCAAAAGTTAAACCTGTAGACTTGGAGCAACTAGTAGAACCTGAATGTGACAACAACTTGCTTGGCAGTGTTCTTGACTTTTACCATTGAAAATCTCAAAAGTGGTTCAATAATGAAGAAATCTCAGGCAATATTGAGTTCAATAAGATAAAACTTGATAGTGGTATTCTCTCTCTTACTTATAAGTACCAACATATGCACACACACACACACACACACCAAGTTAAGAGAGATTTTACGGTTGAGAGAACAATCGTACAATAAAAGTGTCAAGTAATTACTTATATTATACGTTTTTCTTATGACTAAATGACAAGTAATTCCTTTTTTTTGAAAACTATACTATATCTTTTATGTATTTTTATTTATAAAAATTTGAGTCCGAAAAGCTTACACCTCACCTTGCCGGGCATAGAACGCCTTCCTTTAGGCCTTTGAGCTTTAAAACACTTGTGTTGGTAAATCAGCTCATTTGTTAGCAGCCAACTCTGAAAGATTGTACTCCCAAGTCCCAACAATGCATGCCATGTGATTGATATAAACTCAAGTCTGAATGATTACATGGCCTCCTGGGGTAAAATTATAGTAGTGCAGTACTGCATGAAGAGAGAGGAAGATTTCTTGAACTCTATGTAATATCTGTCAAGTCTCGATCTTATTTCTCTTGTGATTGGAATGATTTATCCGACGCTTAACTTTGTCACTATAGTGCTATCTGATTTTTATCTCTTCTTTTTCTAAGTCTGATGGTTGTGAAAGTGTTGTAGCTTCTTGATAGAATGTTCCAAGGAACGGACAATGCAGTCTGCCATGGAAGGATTAGTCTCCCAACTTGTCAAGAATATCTCTGGGGTAGGTATTTTCAGAATCCTTCACAGTCAAATAAATTAGTTTCATCAAGATGCTTATTTCTCCCCTCAAATTTCAAGAGAAGTTTCCTCTTTTCCTCCTTCCTGCAGAAGCCAAACATTCTGATAAAGTCTTCAAATCGGAAGGTGGTCCAGACTCTTGTCTGCAAAATGCTGGTTTAGAAAGCCACTCCCCAGGTGTCTATGAAGAATACTGTGGTGCTGAGATGTCAGATTTGTCTTGTGAGAGCACTCCAAGGCTTGGATACAAGGATAACTGCAGTTCTCTTTTGCTTGATCATATGTCAGTACAAGAACGACAATTGGACTTTAGGAACATGTTCAGATATGAAACACCAGTAATAGACAAGCAGTGGCCGAAGCACAGTATTTCACCTGGTTTGCAGAATTTTTTTGAGTTAGAAAGTGGTTCAAACCTCGCAGAATGTGGTCTAATGACCAAAAAAAATGAAGGAAAAACTGTTCTCTCGTCTAGCATTGAGTTCTTTGGAAAGGATACTGGCACTATCAAAGGATCACTAAGTGATGAAGGTATGTCCGGAGATCTGCAGGTAAAATGGAAGAAGCTTGCTGACCTTGAATCTTTGAAGACCTCAAATTCTAGGGTTTGTGAAATTGAACTGTGCTCGTCGGATGAAAGGGATAAAGCAGGAGCATTTGCCATGCAAAAGAGATCACGAAGGCCTCCCAGGAGATACATTGAAGAATTAGCAGAGTCTAAATCAAAGTTTTATATTAGAAAATGTGGAGTGGCTTGTAAGAGGTCCAAGAACAGCTTTCTGCATGTTAGATCTGACAAAAATAATAGGCAGAAGGAGACTCAGGAAGAAACATTGCTTTGTCAAGATAAATCTTATGAAGTAGGTTGTATTCAAGTTCCATTTGGCCTTCCAATGGAAGCGGGCCAGTTAGAGGAACATAACTCATCTCTGGTAAGGAACATTTGAATTTGTCATTTGGTATATAATTAATGGGTTCCTTGTAGATCATCCAATGTAAATCTGTTTACCTTATTTTGCATTACCTAATGAGCTATCAGATTCTTGTCCCTTATGCAATCAAACTGCTGATGAAAAGTATGACAAGTGAAGAATTAGAAAAAGATAATCAACTTATTGTGCCACCTTTGTAATAAAGTTTAATTTTTTTGTGTGGATACTACAAGATTATGGATTGCCTGGTCTGTTTTTCTTTTCAAAATTAGAAAGTGACATGTGTTATCCTAAGTAAAAACAGCTGCTTTCAATGCATTTTGCACATTCTGCATTTTACCAAGATTTTGCCTTATCATCTAAAAGAAATACATTAAAACAATAAAGTCCAGGGCCATCCATGTCCATTTGAATTTGAGTTATACAAAGTATTGTACATGCAGGAAAGTATTTGTCATGTTTGTAATGCATTTATCGGTAATTTATGTCCAGAACTCTGAGGATTGCAAGGACCACAGACTCCTAAGATCCAGTGAGAAACTTGAGATTGAGTATTCTCCAGCAAAATCGCGAGAGGAGATTTCTGATGATGAGTGTGTCTTGAGGAGAAGTACTCAAAAAGGTAGCAAACAGATAAAGCATTATACATCTTGGACTTCTTCTGAAGTGATGAAGTTAATTGAAGGTGTTTCTCAGTGTGGAGTTGGAAGATGGAGTGCAATGAAGAGATTACTGTTTTCTTCATGTTCACATCGCACAGCTGTTGATATTAAGGTAGTTCATGGCATTTTTTATTGTTATTTCTCCCAACGTATTTGGGATCAGATATGATTTAATCTTTTTGGCTTTTCAGGACAAATGGCGTAATTTGTTAAAAGCTAGCTGCACTCAGTTGCAGAAAGAGAGAAAGGTTGGGTTGAAATTACTTTTACTTTATCTCTATTTTAACATCGTGAGCAGATATTTTACATGGTCAGTGTGAACCCTGAGCATCTTTAAAGCAGATTTTGTTTGGAATTTCAAGATATCGGTTATCTGATTCTTATCTAAATAAATTACCTTATAATCTCTAAACATGTTGTGGTTCTTGCGCTGCATTTCTTCTTAGTATGGTATCTTGTGGATTTATTGCCTTGTTGACATATAAGAGTGTTATGCAACTAGTGAACTAGTACTGGCAATATCTTCTGAAATAAATCTTCTTATTTGAAGAGAGCTTTTTGGATTATTTAGTATGATGAATGTAATTAAGAGTTGGAATTTGGTAGATCAGAACTCCTATTGTGAGCTTGAAGGGTAGATATTTCATTCTTCTATTTCTTTGTCATGCAGATTAAGAGAGATATAAGCAAGCAAGCATCCGATCATGTCCCGGAATCTGTTTTGCAGCGCGTTAGGGAGTTGGCCGTCATTTATCCGTATCCAAGGCGAAAAAGGTCCGCTTGTAATACTCATGCTATGTCTTCTTTTGCAACCAACAAGTGTAATGCATTGCCCCCAAAAGAGAAAAAGTAAATTTAGGTTTTAGCCACAAAAAACTTTCACTTTTGGAAAAAGCCAAATTTTTTCCAAAAAAGACAGAAAAACCCCCCAACTTTCAAACCAAAGACACGCAAATGTAAAGGATTCCTTAGGAAATCCAAAAATAAATAAGGGCTTTTTTGTCCATTTTGGCTTCTTTTAAAAATATTTCTCTCTCCTTTGGCCTTTTCCAAAATGTCCCGAGAGAAAATAGATTACTAGAAACCTCAGTGAACTTCACAATACATGTGAGTTCTTTTGTAGTGAAAGACTGAAAAAGAAAAAGAAATGAAAGAGTTGTGCCCTTTGACATCTAGCTGCATCAATTTTGTAGAATTCTTGTGTGTAGATAAATTACTTAAAGCATTTAGCATGACATTATATTATTTAGGTCATGCCAATTATTTGATCAATTTTTTAGTTTATTGATCAACTGTGTATGTCTTTTTCTCATCCTTATCTCAAGTAGTCATTGTCATTTGGTCAGCGCTTGTTATTGCGGTACGGGTTACCAACTTGGCAATTAATTTACATGCTTACTTGTGTTGTTTGGCTTTTGGCCTTTGGCTTTTGACTTTTGACTTTTTAATGGATTTTCTTTATCCTTTGACTTTCTAAAGTTGTAAAACTTCAGTCCACTCAAATATCAACCTTCAAAATGTGATTGCGGTCCTACTACAATGGGTTGTTTTTTTCCTTACTCAAATAATAGGATATTTTCAAAGATACCGCGATACCGGGATAGAGCTGGCCAACTACAATGCTTGGAGTCAACTTTTAGCATCCAAGGAATTTGCTGCAATAATGTGAGCAACTTTTCGTCTCTGAATCTTCATTCTTCAATAGCATGTTTACTTATTAGGAATGGGTAATGGAATTTTCTTGCTTCCCTGTGTTTTTCATGACTTTCCCTCCCCTGCGTTTACTAAATGTAAGAAATCAAAACTTTTGTGGGTTTCATGTTAAAATCCGTAATTCAATACCTGCAAAACTAGGAATTGGAAGAGTAATTGATCCAATTCCAATTCTCTTATTCCTGAGTTCTTCGATTCATAGCTTCATCTGTTTCTAGTAAGTAAACATGCCCTAAATAATAGGGCATAACAGAAATATGCCCTAAATAGTAAGGAAGAAATATTTTATTTTTTCCAGCTGAGTCATGCTGCTTGCTAGAGTTTATTTCAGACTTGTTTGCCTATACACCCAAAACACATTCACCAAAATCTGATGAAAAATGACCAATTTCATTTTGTTTCAACTTTTACATTTGCGTCCTGTGGCTGTTGATGATATCCAGCTTGAGGTTTTGTTGTTTATTTTTGCTTTGTTTAGGAGCAATATTCAAGTGCATACAATACAAAATAATCTTGTCGCACCTAATTCCAAATTAAAATATTCCCATAAAAACAAAAATCTTGATCCATCCAGATTTCCTCCACTGTTTTCTTTATTTTATTTTATTTCTTTTAATGGCGGCGTGCCACCTTGACTGCCATAAGATTAAGATATCTGTGAACAACAAAATTCCAACTGCTGTCATTATACCTTCATTGTTTAATATGTTCCAAATAACTAGTTATGTTATTGTAAAAATAAATAAAGAACCAGTTATGTCACTCTAAAATCCGAACTCTAATTACAAAATTAAATATTAATAATTAATAATTGTTGAATGATCAAAATGACAAGGATCATCTCTGGGAGAGCGGGACCGTAATACCTGTAGGAACTCTAATACAAAGTGTTGTACACCAGGAAGTATTTGTCTTGTTTATAATGCATTTATCGGTAATGTATGTCCAGAACTCTGAGGATTGCAAGGACCACAGACTCCTAGGATCCAGTGAGAAACTTGAGATTGAGTATTCTCCAGCAAAGTCGCGAGAGGAGATTTCTGAAGATGAGAGTGAGTTTTTTATTTGAAGTGAACTAGACTGGCAATATCTTCTGAAATAAAGCTTCTTATTTGAAGTGAGTTTTTTAACTTGTTTGCTGTGATCAATAATTAAGAGTTGAAATTTGGTAAATCAGAACTCCTATTGTGAGCTTGATATGTGGATATATCATTCTTCTATTTCCTTATCATGCAGATTAAGAGAGAGATAAGCAAGCGAGCATCCGATCACGTTCCAGAATCTGTTTCTCAGCGCGTTAGGGAGTTGGCCGTCATCTATCCATATCCAAGGCGACAAAAGGTCCGCTCCTTACTCATGCAATGTCTTCGTTTTCAACCACCAAGAGTAATGCACGGCCCCATTCTCAACTGCTGTTGAAAGGGTCAGAGCAAATAGATTTGCTAGAAACCTCAGTGAACTTCACACTGCATGTGAGATCTTTTTGTATTTGAAGACTGAAAAGAAAGAAATGAAAGAGTTTAGCCCTTTGGCATATTTCACCATCAATTTCGTATAATTCTTGTTTGAGCATACAATAGTTGGATGAAGTCCTTACCCATGTGTGCATTTAGCATGACATTATATTATTTAGGTAAAAAAGTCACAATATCTGCTTGTTATTATTACTGTATGGGTTACCAACTTGCCAAATTACCGACTCACTAGTGTTGTTTTTGCCTTTTGACTTTTTATGGATTCCCTTGTATCTATCCTTTGACTTTATAAAGTTGTAAAACTTCGGTCCACTCAGATATCAACCTTCCAAAATGGGATTGCGGTTCTGTAAACTTATAAGGAATGGATATTGTAATTTTCTTGCTTCTTTGTGATTTTTATGACTCTCTCTCTCCCACGTTTACTAATAAGTAAGAAATCAAAACTTTTGTATGTTTCCTGTTAGAACCTGTAATCCAATACTCTCAAAATTAGGA